CATTCAATAGAGCATCACTAGGTGGAGGTCACCCACTTTGTTTCATTTGAAAATATGATTTCGTCTATCCGTAATGATCAATTTACTGTTAAGTTTGAGAGGTTTGTTTTGTACCCTTAACTTAAAAACTAAATGGTCTATGACATCAACTATCACACTATTCTAATGCTTAGAACATACCAGAGGTCACTGACACACTCTCAATCATATAGATTATAAATTACAGAAAATACCGTATAACGCTTTATTTTGGTGGCGCTTTATTTTGGCGATTTTGCTGTAAAATTGTAATTGGTGGTTTTTAATTTGGCGATTTTTGTGTACACGTGCATTACTGAGCATGCGCATTAATGATTGGTGGTTTTAATATTGACGATCCTGCTTGTAAACCGCCAATCGCCAACATAAAACTCCGCCAAATTAAAGCGTTATACGGTATACAATTAAACATGTAATATGGTGATTAATGATTGACAGTGCTGATTAACAATGAATTCCAACTGCAAACATCATGATTGCCCCAGCAGACTACTTGGGCAAGTAGAAAGAGTGTCCCTCTACATTATTGAAGGGTTATCTGTGCAAAATAAGACAATATGCAACCAAAAACTAATGAAATGTATGCCTACCTGCTTCACTTCTCCAGCCATTTTCAATTTTACATACGATTAATTAGAGCAAATTGGCTTAAAATTAATACGGTATAGGTAACTAGCATTTCCAGCCACGAACGGAAGTTTCCAATCCCTTTCATTTACTCTAATACATATGCAATAACCCATAGATATTACATAGATTTACTCTATTATCTATGAATAACCACTAATAATTTTATTAGGCGAATAGTTCGAATAGCAAAAAAACTATTTGAATATTGCTTTAACAAATGAATAGTCGAATATCTCACTATTTTTTTCAGCCCTAATTTACATTCTAAGCACTTTAAACTTGATTTTTATGTCTTGCAACATCTGTTAAGTGTTGAAGAGTGATATCCTCTTCACCACTTTGTTGTTTTACTTCAGAGAGCCTAGTGAAACAGGCTGTGTCACCTTGCTTACATTGTACAGTCAAACCTGTCTAAACGGTCACTGCTTAAAACAGCCAGCTACTTTAAAACGGTCACTATTTAATGTCCCAATTTTTTGGACAATGACTGTAATACTAAACTTACCTGTCTCAGCGGTCACTCTGTAAGATGGTTAACGGTCACTGACAGAATTAATCTCCATCAAGACTGATAAAGACCACCACTGTGTCCAGGCGGCCAGATAGCCACGCCTATTGTACCACGCCCATTTTGAATTAATTTTTACATCATTAATAATGATTAATTTTTTTTTAATTGTTATCTCAAATAATACCTTCGAAATAATACTATATACAACTCAGTTTAGGTCTTTAGGGGTACCTAAAAGTTCTTTAAGTCTTGTTATATAGTTTCTATGGCCAGTAAATGTGTACAAAATAATTTAAACTGTATTTAAAGGCATCTCTATAAAAAGGCCACCTGCATAAGACAGCCACTAAATGCATGTCCCAAGGTGACCGTTTTAGACAGGTTTGACTGTACATGTATCTTGTCAGTATGATTAATATGCTTCTGTATGTTGTTATTTTTCCTTAATGTTCCGATTTATTGCTATTTGTTTTGTGCATTCACTTCATTTTCATCTGATGATTCTGGTCAATTTTTACTTTTTGATTTTAGTGTGTATAGCACACATTGGCAATCACTGCTTTTGATTTTGCTTAGCATTTTTTCTTTCTTTTAATGTAATGTATGATTCTTTTATGTTGTCATGTTTTGTTTTTTTTTTGCTATCATAATTATAATTTCTACTATACAATGTAGGTATTACACTATTAGTCAAATTCCACGGTTATGTGTTTTGGATGACACTCCTGTTACTGAAGAAGAAAGAAAAGCTTCTGGTAAGATATTCGGACCACAGAGGAAAAAAACCAGAAAGCATCAGGTTGGTATTCTGAATCTCTTTGCAATGCAATTAGCCAAGTATGTACATGTACATGTACTTACCACTGTATAGTGAAGCACTAGCTATACAGTGTGATTTTATTCCGCTATACTTTGTACATAGGCATTTAGCCATTTACTCAGAAATTATTTTTGATATTTTATGGTGGGAATTTGCCCAGGTGAGGTTATGTGCCTTAACCAGAGGCCAGAGATGTGTATTGTGGTTGATTCCCTTTATGTTTGGTTTCATGTGACTTCTTTTGAAAGATATCCCTTATCATGTACATGTAGATTGTACTTGCATAGTCAAGTTACCATATGGCATGATTTACATGTATGTACTAGTATTTTGATTTTCATGAGACATTGAGTTTTATTTACAGTGTATGCATGCATGCATATAGAAAACTAAACTGTACTGTTTGTGTCCATTTTGTTCTAAATTAATTACATTTGCACCTACATGTACATGTACATGTACAGTATATTCTTTTACAAAAGGAGAAGTTCATTTAAAAAATTGTTCCATCAAATTATGATTAGTTAATGGTGTAGCTCAAAATAGAAATACTCCTCATAGTGTACATTTGTATCTAATTGAGATTTCTATGAATATGATATGCACATCATCAGTGAATTGGACTCTTGGTTTTGCATGAATGCGTAACACTACAATTGTCTATTAATTATCTAGCTGGCATGTACAAAGTGCGGCTGCTTCGCAAATTACATGTATTGTACAATGTACATTAATTATTTTATCTGTGTACCATGACTTCTTCATGACAATTAATGTACATGTACCATGTAGTTTGTTGCATGATTTTCTGTTTCAGTACATGCATGTGTGAGCGCTGACATAATTTGTGCTCTTATTTTTTACATACTTAAATTTCATGCTGTACTCTACCAATTTTTTGTACCACATGTGATCAAAAGATCTTACTATATTCGTGCTGTTTGAATTGTAATTATATTGATCATGTTTCATTCTTTTTAAAATACCTTTCCATAAATTAATTTTAAATTTATTGTACATGTACTGTAATTAAATTACATGTAATGATACATGTAACTGATATTCAATATATACTCCTTCCACATTATTGTTACACTGTTTTGTTTTGTGTGTACATATACTTTAAATGTGATGCTGTTAGGATTAATGTACATGTACATAATAATCCCGTAACTACCTCTTGACAATGGTTAGTACATGACAGCTAGTCAGCTACCCCTTTTACATGTACTGTACATGTATGCCCTTACTATGGCAAGTAGGGTGTAGCTACACGTACATGTACATGTACAGCTGTATACATCAGGATTTTTTGAATGCAACATGGTCTGTGGCTCTGTGCATTGAAGTACTGAAATGTTGTTGTCTGGTTATTAAATTCGTCATAATGAAGTTTTCAAATTTTTTCAATTATTTGAATTTTCTTTTTTAGTCAAGAGCTCCAACCATCATGTATACTCTCAGTATTTTATCTTACTCAAATGGATGCTTGGAATTTTCTTCAAGACATGTTGTTTTCTAACTTCTAATTCTTATTTTTATTAGAATTACATGTACGTTGATGTGTGATAGTTCTTGCTATGGCTATACACTATAGATATAAAGCCTAGATTAATTGTTGTTTGTTAAATGTACGTGTGCATGTTTGTCTTATTTTGGTTGTGGTACAAATTGTTGATTATGTGATTGTGATTGTCACATTGATAGCTACATGTGCATGCATGTACATTGTACATGCATACATGTATGTGTGGTTGGTTTACTTTATGGTTTGTAATTTTTTGTGATTTTTCCAAAAAAAATCTCTAGAGTTTAAGGTAATGTTTATGGGTGCATGCTACTACATGTACATGTATTTGTGGCTGGCATCTTTTTAGTTGGATTTTCAGTAATAGCTTCAGGTGTTAAAAAATGGAGTGGTTACTCCATTTGCTTCGAAGTAGTACATTGTAGTTGGCGCTCATTATTTTTTTCCATGTGTAAGGGTTAAAATTTTGTGAATTATAAATAAGCACCACAGAATTAATGAAAATCATTATCCCATGTCATATGGTGTCATTTGTGTTGTTTGTTTCTTGAACACCACTTTTAATATTTGGTGTGTGTTTTCTCATTCGTGTTAATAGTTTCGTCACTTTAATATTATTTAGTATGATTATACATGTAGTATTATGTGCCCCATGAACATGTTCAATACATGCATATACATGTACCTGTAATGCATTACAATTAACATTGTATCTGCATGTTGTACTTGTACAGGTGCTGGTGCTTGAATTTCCCACCACTTAATTATGGCTAATTGTGCTGTTTTATCCTAGTTCACAATCACTGTCACCAAGGATATGAGTGGACTTGTTTGTGTGGTGAAATGATCATATAGCAAGTTCATGACATTGATTGATCTGTGGTGTGTCAGCAAAAGTGGCTGTGACGTTTGGTGTATTGTTTGTTTGTCTGTCCTGTGGTCATGCCCACCCACAGACCTTGCTTAATGGAAACTACACTGTATGTAGTATGATGCCTTATTTGTAGTGGTAATTTGCCCAAGTGAAAGCTGATCACTTTTATGTCACAAAGCAATTTTGTATTATAAATAGTAAGCTTGTGCTTGTGAGAGTATCTGAGGAATGTAATTGGCCACATACATTGTACACGTTTAGACACACACATGCAAAGTGCGTGGTATTACTGACACACCTAAAAGTTGGTGATTATGCTTTTTATTTGGAGTTACATAGTACGGTGCTTATGTAGTTTAAATGGTGAGTATATAGAGAGATGGTACTTCGTAGTTGGGAATGAAGTAATTGATTTGATTTGTCATCGCTAGAGTGAACACAAGCAGTTGTACACATTACATTTATTGACGTCCCATTTAATTTTTTAGGTCAGAAGACGAACAGAAACGACTCCACTTCTTGAAGACACTTTGTGAAGTCACAAGATTGATTATAATTGAACTTTTATGTATTCTTAACAATAAAATTTTAATAATAAATACTGTTGTCATAATGCATGCTAACGTTAAAGCGGTCGTCATCATCAAAGGGAAGGCTTACACCCACGTACATTGAAATGTACATAAAGTCATCATGAAAGCTTGCATTCATTAGTTTCTTCCGAAGTTGTCTTCCTTAGGCCAAGAGAATGTCTTACTCATGGGGTGAGTTGTCTAGATTTTTTGTATGATTCATGGCCTTAGAAGAAATGAATAATTGTAGCTTGTTTGAGCCACTCCCTGCCGGGCCGGCGCACTTTATCTGTAAAATCCTTTCTCTTTCCCTGCAGGAGAAAGAAGTAGTAGTGGTATATCTCCTGGAAGCTCTTCTGCCTACGAAGACGCCTACGGGATAGGGCAGCAAGCGCTCGAATCCGCTCCTGGATCTTATGGTAGCCGTAGAGCTGGAGAATACTTTGGTGACTCGTCTTTCTTCACTCAAAGCCAATCCACCGATCACAGCGGTCCATTGTGTGTTTATCCGACAGTGAGTTTTATGATAATAATTTTTGAGTTTACTATAGTAGTGAAGCCATGCACCTTTTTAACTGAAGTTATCAGCTGTGGGGTAGATAGTATATATAGTCCACTATGACACTAAGTTAAGTTTCTGGCTTCTATAATTGTATCGTTACTCTTTATCAATGGAATTCCTGACATGTTTATGTAATAATGGACTATGGATGTACATGTAGCTAGTTCATGTAACGTTATGGCAGAAATTGTTTGTCCGTACGTTAAAATAGATTCATAGCAAGTTACATGAAGTGTATTCACAAGTAAATAGACATACCCTCCTCCTCTTTTATCACGTATTTTACTCCTCCAACTCTTAAGGGAACAATGTTAGTCTTATTCATTTTTCATTTATCCCTGAGGTTAAGTGCTACATGAGAATGGGGTTGCATACCATGACTTGTGGAAACCATGAATGTGGGACAATGCTATGTTGACCATAATACAGCTGGCAAAGTTGCCCAAAGCCTCACTCACAAGTAGTCACTCCCAATGCCACCACTGTCCACCTGGACATTGTGGTTGAAACACATGTCAAGGGATATTGGTGGAGGTTCAAATTACCATCAGACATGAAACCTATGACAACTTAATGTTTATACTTAACACCCTTCCTTCATGTGTTGTGACAAGTAATTTAACTCAGATATGGTATCATCATGAAAAGTAGCTGGGCCTTCCTTCCTTATCATTAATGAACTATATCGTACTTTTGTGTTTGGAAACATGAGTGCATCCCACTGAATTGTCATTTATTCATGAAAGTATTTTGACTATTTGAGTGCTATTTTCTCAAGCACAATATTTTGGTAGAGGACATCAAAGTAAAGATTGTTATGTCTTATTAAACTGGCTATACATATACTAGATAACTTCAATGATTGGCACCTACATGTTAACTATGTCACTTGTTGAAAATTTGTGGTTCCTATTATTCTCATTGTATTGTTGTTGCTTTACCACACAGCTCAGTTGCAACTAACTATATGTTTAACAAATGTTACCTACTCCCATGGCATTAGTCCACTTAGGGTGGTTATGTAAATTTTACAGCTATAGTAACGGTAGCCTTTGTGTCTACTCTTATTGCTTAGTGAACCGCCAATATTCATAGTAGCTTCAGTTGTATTCATAACACTTCAGTTTGTGATATTCACCATCGGTACACACTTGTTGCTTCTTAACATGGTCAAAATTACTGATGAATTTGCCCTCATATTAGAATTTTACTGTCAGCCAGCCAAACTGGTTTGACAAGTTTATAGCCCTGGGACACTTGTTATTGATGTTGAACGTGTCTCTTGTATTCGTGTATATTCATGCATCCATGCATTTGTTTGTGCAATAAATGATTCTTGTTTTGACTGAGTACAGTAATAAATATCTGACCAGTGTTGTCATAATTCAATAGGTTTTAATCAAGTGTTATGAACTGCATGTAGCAACCATTTTTCATTTTGTCTAACATTATGATTACTGTTGTATTTAGCCTATCAACCCTTTGTCTTATTTAGACTCAGATCCACCAGAGTATACACAGAAACCCTGTAATGTCTGCTCAAGTACAAAGAGATAATTTGATTCAAGAAAGGTAATCAGAAATTATAGAGAATAAAGTAAATATTACATTTTTTTCTCTTTATTGTTAGAGAAGCTATACTAAAAGAGCAGGGTCACTTTCGAAGTACACAGCGTTATTATGTGGAAGAAATCACTAAAGCTGTAGCTGAACAACAGAAGTTTGGACCACATTCTCCTGAAGTAAGCTGAATCATATTGATTCTTAATAATAATAAACCTCATTTTGCAGTTTCAAAATGTTCAGCGTATTATTACTGAAATAATGCAACAGATGTATGATCAAATTGGCACTCCAGAAGATGCTAAGCGTTCTGAACAGATATGGAATGAACGACTTTTTAAAATTGAGGAACGTCTTAAAATGTATCAAAATTCTCACTTATCTTCATCACCTGATAGTCAAGTAAGTTCATTTACACATGTTATGTTTTTGTGAATATCATTGTGTATCAATGATATACAATGTACATGTACATGTACATGTAGACAATGAACATGTATGAAGATTTTGTTTTCCTAGTTACTATTTACATTATTTCAATGCATACATGTATATTTATTGTTGCTATGACACTAAGCATCACAACCAGGTTCTTAATGTAATACATAGCCCATGGGGACATAAGTGGCATTTTATTCTTCTAATTATACAAATGTACACTGCAGTTGTTTAATTTAAAATCTGCTATTGCCAGACTAAACACTCATTAATTATGACATTTGAGAATGCCTGGATCATATCCCTTGCCAATACACCCATAATATCCCAGCAGCATGAGTAGAAAGATTATTGTCCTGTAAGGCCAGCAATGAAGCAGATTTCTTTCACAAGTATTCATTTTCTTTTTTAACAGGAAACCACAACATGTTGTGGTTTTGTTGTAATGAAGTGTGATGCAGTGCCTTGTAGACTATGTGGAGGTGGATAGACAGATTAGTGGGAGGGTGTGGGAGTAGCATAAATATTTGCCAGCTATCTGTAGGAGTGTAGGCATTGTGCATATGACAAGAGTGTATATAGTTAATCCTGATGAATGTTGTGGTCAAGCATAACTATTGTACTAAAACAACTTTCCCTTCCTTTATTAGATATCTGGAATAGCTAATTCCTCATCGCAGTGGAGTAGTCCTGTCGAATCAGTTGCATCATATCCAGAGTCTCAAGTACCAGTTGGCCGTGTACCAAGGCACTCTATTTTAACTAGAGAAACGTTTGAGAATGAGTCACATAGTACGAGTAGTTCTGGAGCCAATAAGGATCTCAGTCCATATGAGCATGGGGAATATTATGACAAGCTATCATTTGGACGAGGGCCTCGCTCTTCTTCAATGGTGTCAGCAGAGGAGCAGTTGGAAGGTACAGCTGATGTGCTTGAGGCTTTACGACCAAGACGTCATCACAGATTGAGACCTCCTCCTCGTCATCTGCCATTTCAGCTTAGTCAAGAAAGCGATTTCCTAGGAGGACAGTCCAGTGCTACTTCACTTCCTCTCTCCCAATCTACTAGTCATTCTGCTGGTCACAATCACTCTTATCCTCATGGTTTGTACAAGCCCAGTTCACCTACATCAAGCAGTGATAATGCCAGTATTTCGTCATCTGTTCACCATCGCCTTGGTTCAGGTCCCGCCAGTGATGCATCTTTTCCATCTTCAATAAACCTCAGTCAATCAACGACTTCTAGTCGTAGCAGTTATGTTTATCGATTGCCACGTCCATCACTGTCCAACAGTAATCCCGGTAGTACGACAAACATTTTACCATCACGTCACCATTCGTTATATAAGGAAGATTCTGTATATAACGGCAAGTCGTATCACCATCAGCCTATGTCATCAAAGAGGAATTCACGTGGTTCATCTGAAGATTCTCGTAATGTTTCACATGTGTCTAGGAGAGAAGGCCAGAGACAAAGATCAAAGCAGAAAGATGACAAGGGTGAAAGAGATTCCTTTTCAATGAAACTCGATGTGGTTATGTCAATGATGTCTGCTCTTTCTACATCATCACAATCGGATGCTGATGCTGTGAAGCTTTTACTTGCGCTCTCTCAATCTAGCGAAACATGCAGTGTCCTTAGACAGTCAACTTGTATGAGCCAGTTGATCAAAATAATTCACAACAAGGATATTCCTTCAAAGGATCAGAAGGAAGTGAAGTCCAAAGGTCTTGAAGCTCTACGTAACATAGTCGAATCTAATCCCAATTCCAAAGTCCGCCATTGTGAAAGATCAGTCCTTAGCACACTCAATAAGATAAGGGCTCACTGTGATCAGCTCTTTAAGTTTATTCACACTGTCCATTGTCAAGAACCTGTCACAGCAGATGAATTGGAGGTTCTTCAAAAGTCATGCAATAGTGTTCTGCTGTTTCTGAGAAAGTTACTCAAGTACTCAAGCTCAAGAGAACTTCATCGTCCAGCAATTCTAAATCTAGGAGGGCTACAAACCATAGCCGATATCCTCATTTGTGATCATAACCTTCCTAAGAAACAGGATAACATCATTGGCCATTCATCCGAAATAATAGCTGTGACCATCACCATTTTAATCAATTTAACTTATGGAGATGTCAACAATAAGCTTGCCCTTTGCAGCATTCCTGATTTTCTGAATGCGCTTATGAGCCACTTCTACTCTTTCAATGAACAAGTTATGTCAAAGGGAGCACAAGTTATTCGTAATCTCTCCTGTAAGGCTACCCCTGATATCAAGGAATGTTTAATGAAATGCCAAGCTGTAGTTGTCTTAATGGAAGCTGTCGAACGAGCCAGCAGTGAAACCACAATTCAGCACATCACCAGTGCCCTCTGGAATATGTCGGCCCACTCTATCGATAATCGTTACAGGATATGCAAAAAGCCACATGGAGTCGAGACCCTTGTTCACCTTCTTTCATTCAATAGTCCCTCTGGCACCACTGTCATTGTTGAAAATGTTGGGGGAGTATTGCGAAACCTCTCTAATGTTATATCACAAGAGCAAGAGTATCGCACAAGATTTCGTGAAGCTGGTGGGCTGGATAAATTAGTACAACATTTAAAGTCCAGAAACAAAGTTGTACTTGCCAATGCTACTGGTATTTTGTGGAATCTATCAGCACGATGCCCAGAAAACCAAAGTCTGCTTTGGGATTTAGGTTGCATACCTCTATTGGATATCCTACAAACATCTCCTCAAAAGAATATATCAGAGAACGCTCGTGGGGCTTTGCGTAATCTACTTGCCTTTGGTCAAAGTCAAGGCTGGACATCAAGATCTGATCTTTCCACGTCATCTCAAGCTAAGAAAACACAGAAGACACACTCGAAAAGCACAATGGCTTTAACGGGTGGACCAAATGCATCAATTGAAAATATACGATCTGGTCGTAGTAGTGCACCATTTGGTTCATCTGCTTCTAAACCAAATTTTTCAGCCCACCAATCTAGCATTAGCTTGAGAGATTCTTTATACAAAATGTCTTCGTCACGAGGAAGTATAGAAAAACCACCAAGCAACAGTATGATGAATTACAAAAGTGATGATTTCATCAATGGCCCAAGGTTTAGTCGTGTATCTTCTGCTCCACAACCTAATGATGATGAATGGATGAATTATCGTCCTGTTGCCAAACAAGATGATGTTACCAGTACTGACTATCACCATCGCTCACAAGCAATGAGCCACACTGGTCCATCTTCTCAGGTCCATCCATCAATGCATCACCAGCAACACAAGAAGCACAGTAGAGGTGGTCATTCAGTGAAACTCTCCAATGGGCACAATTACTCTTACTCTCAGTCAGAGTCATGTGATTCAGAGTTTCAGTCAGTCAGTGGAGCTAGTCTTGGGTTGAGCCCTCAGCTGCCAACCGAAGATGGGATGATGCGTAATGCTGGTAACGTGGAAGTGGCTTATGATGAACTGGATATTGAGATTGATGATCAATTGGAAGATGAAGTATCTCACTGTCACTACAGAAATCCATCAGAGCCAGATTCTGAAACCTCAGACCATTCAATTGCTGATCAGTTCGTTCGTGATAGAGAGAGTGTGAGACGCATTGCAAGTCCCTCTATTCCATCTCCATCCAAACTCTCTCCCAACATATATCAACACAAGATTCTGACAGCTGATATTGCTCGTGCTAGTGGAACAAGTGGTTTAGCATTAGATGGAACAACTCCATCACAAGATGGACTGGAACCTATCTCCGAAGCTCATGATATTGTAGTAGCACGATCAGATGTGTCCCGCTCTCACAGTAATAGCAGTTCATCTGGGGGAGCAGAATAGGAGCTGATGTCCATTAATTATGTACAATAAAAGAAACATGTACATATAATAGCATGTTCAGTCAATTAGTACTAATTATTTTTAATGTGTGTTTTGTATTGGTGTATGACCTTTCTCACTTATATGTGAAAGTTCTTTCTGTTAAAATTAATATTGTTAAATGTAATTTTGTATCTTAAATTTAATTTCTGTACCACTTGCAAGCTATTAAATATTTCTAATTAATCTTTTAAAATAAATAATTATTATTTGTACATCATGTTATTACAATGCAAGGTGTCGCAATTTAGAGTTTAGCTGCCTTTCATGTTCAAGCTGATCTTTGCTGTGCTTCTTGAACATAGAGAACTCCTAAAAATAATTAAAATAACCATAACACAAACATAAAGACATGCACATACATGTACTACATATATAAATGTACACTGTACATGTGCAAGTACATGTAGCTGTAATTTACTTTTTCTAGTGATACAAGTTTTCCTTGTGTTAAAGCCAGTTCTCTCTTCAAATTGGCAATCAATTCATTCTCTGCCTGACCCCTATACATTATAATACTATGACTATGAATGCACTATTATTAACTATAATAAACATATACCTTAAGCCATGTTTCATATCTACTGTTGAGTCACGCATTGCCTTTTCAAAAGAGGCAGCTTGTTGCTGCCACTTTCTTGATTCAAGTGACATTAATTTTAATTGTTCCTTAAGTTCAGAATATAAGGTTGCTGCTTCTTCTTTGTCTCTGGTTAACTTCCTAATTATCTGATCATAATGAGATTTCATATCTAAAATTACAAAAAATAAATCCTCATGAAATAAAAATTACCTTCATTTTCTTTCTTTAATTTTGATACATGCATCAAAGTTTCATTATGACTGGTAGTTTTGTCATTTAAGTTAGATTGCAATGATTTAATACAATCCTCAAAGCTCCTATTTTGTTCCTTAATTGTCAATAGTTTACTTTCCAAGTCTAAAACTTTACAATGATCGGTACTTCTTT